ATCTCAAACGAATACTTCTAGACCAAACACCTACATACGAAGGTCTAACTACTATCTTGTGTCAAATCGAAGCGATTCTTAACTTCAGACCTCTCGAACCTTTGAACGACGACATAGATGATCTCCACCCTCTTACGCCCGGACACTTCTTAATAGGTGGTCCGTTAAATGCGGTACCTCAGTGTTCCTTAACTGACATAAGCCCAAATCGACTGTCTCAATGACAACGCCAGCAACAGTTGGTCGAAACCTTTTGGAAACATTGGTCCCAAGACTATCTCCAGTCCTTACAACATCGCACCAAATGGCGTCTCCCTCAAATTAAGATAAAGGTAGGGCATATGGTCTTGCTCAGTTAGCCTAATTTGCCTCCGGCCAAATGGAATCTAGCGCGAGTAATTGAATGTTATCCAGGCCCTGATGGCCATGTGCGCGTCGTTAAACTAAAAACTGCTACGTCTGAATATACTCGTCCAATAACAGAAATTGTTTTGCTTCCAATCGATCTCGATGATCCAAATGTAACTACGACATTAGAATAAGGTAAGCGCAAAGTAAAAACGTTCCAATTGTTCTACCGTTGATTTCAATGTAATTATTATTAAGATTGTTTCAATGTTTGCCAAAGAGCATAGATTTAAGAAAAATTCAAGCACACAACTTAGGCTAAGTCGCGATGAAAAACATTTGTTGAAATCCAATATTTCAAGGCGGGCGGCTTGTTTTAAAGTGCGTGTATGTACTGTGTGTTCATGCCAGCATACAGATAGCAGCATGCGCCTCTAACTGCTGTCGGTGTGTTGGGGATCGGGTGTAAGGAAGGGGTATACCTATAGATCAAGTAGTCTGCGCTGATGCTCGTTTTATGCATGTGTGCGTGCGTTGTTCTTTGTCTGCTCGCGGCGGTTGATAGCGTCATTTTTCTCTCTCTCTCCTGCGTCTGTACTTTGACCCTATGTTCGCACGAGATGAGCTCGCTGAGCTTCTTCGCTCAGACCCGTTGAGCTGTTCGCACGTTCGTGAAATAAAAACGCGCGTGCATCTTGTCGACGACAGTGTGTTTGTATGTGTGATTCTCAATATAAGGTAGATACCTAAAGTGTTTAATGCCCCTCTTCATGTTTTTTGTAAAGTAGTTGCTTAATATTGACATGATTAAATAAATACGTTTTATAAGTTTATATACACATCAAGATTCCTTTTGTGCACTGCCCACTAGTACCTAGTGGCCTACCTCTCCAAGACATTCAATCCCAAACAAGTGGCAATCCTGCCGGGATTGCAGTGCATAAAGCTCCAAGGAATAACTTGTAGGTATCAGAGTAAGCAAGTGTCAGCCGCCTCCCAGAGACAGTAGTTAAAGGGAGCTACGTTGTCATCTCGTCTTCTCAGAGGTTGATGCGTCGCTGACGTTGAGGCATTCAAGGTCAAAGGGCGGAGTTAGTCAAAATAACTCGCCTTTCTCATCGTTTCTCTCTCGCGCTCTCTCTTTCGGGAGTGTATACACCCATAGGTGTCTGTTTTTGCTGTTGGTGAACGCTTCCAGAACATTCCTTTGTTTCACGGCACCATCTTGTCTAGCCGCCGTGTATAAAATCGCACGATAGTTCGAGAACTTTCGTCGATAAAGCAGTACACATATATACATATCAAAACACGTGCATGCGTAGTTTTTTTCATTGTGCTTTGTTAACATCGACTCATTCCAATTGCGTGTGCGGCGATTGTCCGTTCACTGGCTCAGTTAGTGCATTTTGAAAACGCGAAAGTTGTTGTGTGCAAATTCGTGAGTTTTGAGTCTTATTCATAATGACTGAACAAGAAGTCCAAAAAGTGCAAGTGCGGCTTGAAGCTTTATATACAGACCAAGCCGTCGCTATAGCAACGTTACAGCGTGCGATCGCTTACGCTCGCATGCTTGATCCAGACCATCGAATTGTGCCGATTCTAAATAATCGAGCAGAACATGTTAGCAAGTGCTGGGACGAATGCACTGCTCTCAACAAAGAAATTCAAGCACTAGCCTTTCGAGTCGATCAACAGCAGAGAAGTTCTTTCAAGGAACGCAAGTTCGGAACCATCGAAGTCGAATATCTCAGCATCAAGGACCAGCTGGCTATCTGGTGGCATGCTGCATCAGCTCAGCCGACGATTCCTGCCAATCAGCATTAGATCGCCAACAGAGGGTCACCATCAGCAGATTTCAACGTTCGACTACCGCAGCGGAGCATTCCTAATTTTTCTGGTAAATTCACGGAATGGGCTGCATTTCGAGACTCTTTTGAAGCTCTGGTGAAATCTAATTCAGTTTTAAGGGATATTGAAAAATTGCATTATCTTAAAGCATGCGTAAAGGGGGAAGCGAATGAAATAATATGTAATGTTCAACTTTTGGATGGGAATTTTAATACTGCATGGGAGTTGCTTGAGAATCGCTATTCAAATAAGCATGCCACGACAAATGCGCATCTTTCTGAAATCTTCAAATTCGAACCTCTAAAAAAGGAATCTGCGTTTAATCTCTTTAATTTACGAAATGTTGTTAAACGTAACTTATCCGCGCTTCAAAATTTAGGTTGTCCCACAGAACATTATAGCGCCATTCTCATTCATTTATTAACCGAAAAGCTTGATTCGAAAACTCAGCGAGATTGGGAGGTGAGTATTGCTTCTACCTCAGATAATCCTACATATAATATATTTGATAAATTTTTAGTTGAAAGAATACGGGTATTAGAATCTCTTAATCAAGCTGAGTCATCGAACAAATCAATTAACTCTCAAGCAAGCCCAGGCAGCGTGCAGTCCCAGGCCAAATTCAAAAACAATAAGCAAAAGACACTAGCTGCAAATTCTTATCTTATATCAGAACCGAATGGTGAGTGCCATGTTTGTAGTCAAGATCATAAAATTTATCAATGACCAAAATTCAAAGAAGTACCTGTGACTGAACGTTATGACTATGTGCGATCCCTCCAACTCTGTTCGAATTGTCTAGCGAAAGGACATAAAAATAAGGAATGTGGGAGCAAAGTATTGTGTAGAAAGTGTAATAAGAACCACCACACAATGCTTTATCGTGATTCCACGGTCGATGGTAAGGGGCAGACTGAGCAAGGGTCAGGTACCCAGGTCTTTTCCAAATTTGTTCAAACCTCTATGCTTTCTCTTCCGCCGTTAAGGTTTAGTAAAACTCTTCTTGCTACTGCAAAGGTGTGGCTTACTGCTGACACCGGTCGGAAAATTCAAGTTCGCGCTTTACTCGATCAAGGTTCAACGTGTTCCTTCGTCTCAGAAAAGGCTGCATCACTTCTCGGTCAAAACGGCTTAAGGTGACTGAGAGTTTGGCGGGGCTGGATGGTGTCTCGACAGGGTCTTCATGTAGTGCCATGAACCTGACTCTTTGTAATCAAACAGGCACTGCTGCCTTCAAAACTCAAGCGCTGATCATTCCTAAAATTTCTGCTTATGTACCAGATAAACATATATCTCTTTCAAATTATGCTCACTTGACTAACCTCCCTCTCGCTGACGATCCCAATGATGGTAGCGACATTCATTTTCTCATAGGTCGATCTTTATGGTTCTATCTTATTAAATAATATTAGAAAAGGAAAGTTAAATGAGCCGGTTGCACAAGAGACTGTTTTTGGTTGGGTGGTCTTTGGTGGGACAAATCCCTTGAACAATTCTCATGAGCAGACTATGCAGGTGATGCACTCGTGGTGGTCGAAAACTTGAATACTTCTATTCGGCGGTTTTGGGAATCCGAGAGTGTACCCTTGAAATAGATTATGTCTCCAGAGGACGAGCTTTGCGAGTCTCATTTCGTTGTAAACCACTCACGATATCGAGATGGTAGATACGTTGTTCGTATCCCTTTTCGCTCACAACCCCCTATTCGAATAAGGGAGTCTCGTTATTCGTAGAGCGTCTTCTTATCAGGAGTGAGTCCAAGCTGAACAAAAATTCAGTCCACAAACAAATGTACTCTGAATTTATGCAAGAGTATGAATCGTTAGGCCATATGAGTGTGGCAAAGCAAAATGACTTACAAATTACTCTCATTGTATATCTTCCGCACCACTCAGTGTTCCGAGATCAGAGTCAGACGACAAAGTTAAGAGTAGTTTTTAATGCTTCTTGTAAGACTTCTAATGGTACTTCATTCAATGATCATACTCTAAAGGGACCTAAGCTTCAATCAGATCTTTATGTCGTCATCTCGCAATGGCGTTTATATCCTATAGTCTTCACAGCAGATATAACAAGAATGTATCGTCAGATTCTTGTCGATTCTCGTGATAGACATTTTCAACATATTCTGTGGCGTTCAAACACGGATCAGCCGGTACAAGACTACCAATTAAATACAGTCACATACGGAACTCGTTCAGCTCCCTATCTCGCTCTTAGAGTAATCAAACAGTTAGTTCAGGATGAAGGCTCGGAATTTCCTGATGCGTCAGCAGTACTTAGTCGTGACACGTTCGTTGATGATATGCTCTTTGGCGCTCATGACGATTCTTCTGCACTTCGAATTTAGAATGAGGTAATTGAGCTCTTAAGTCGCGCGCAACTTGAGTTAAGGAAATGGGCGAGTAACCAGCATAATTTAATCAGTGACATTGATCCAACAAATTATAGCCTTGTGTGGGATTCTTTATCACACGATGATTCGGGTGTCAAGGTTCTAGGGATTCAATGGGATCCGGATCAGGATACTTTTCGGTTTGATGTTCATCTCGGCACTCCTAATTCGTTATCTAAACGGGTAGAGTTATTTTTTCTTTCGCAATTGTTCGATCCGTTAGGTTGGATCTCTCCAGTCATAATAAAGGGGAAGATCATGATGCAAAAGCTTTGGCTCGGAGATTATCACTGGGATGATGATTTACCCACTGATCTAACCTCCGAGTGGCGAGGTTATTTTCATTCTTTAAATGTTATCCCAAGTTCTATCCCAAGTTCGTCTTCCTCGATGGAATCACTACGACCCCATGAATTCAAGCTCGCAACTTCATGGATTTTGTGATGCATCAAGTCACGCCTATGGTGCTGTGGTGTATCTTCGGACTGTAGATTCAAAAGGTCATACAACTGACTCCTTGATCATGGGAAAAACCAAAGTTGCGCCTCTTAAGCAGCTTAACATCCATCGCTTGGAACTCCAAGCTGCACTGTTGCTTGCTCAGCTTATCAAGGCTCTAAGAGAGGTCCGTATCTTCCAGAACGTCCCAGTTCAATGTTGGACTGACTCAAGCATCACGTTGTCTTGGCTGAGTAAACATGCTTCTACATGGAAACTGTTCGTCTCGAATCGGGTAGCAGAAGTCCACGAGCTGCTCCCTAATCATAAATGGAGGCATGTACCAACTGACAGCAACCCAGCCGATCTAGCTTCACGAGGAGTCGAAGCTGCAACTTTGGTGGGATGTGATTTGTGGTGGACTGGTCCTCATTGGCTTAGCCTAACCTCTGATGCTTGGCCCAATACTTTTCCTGACCTTTCGACGGAAGCAGATAGTGAAGCAAAGGCTGTGACTCATCATGCAACTCGGCATCAAGAATTGCCATTAGAACGAATTGCCTCAAAATTCTCTTCATGGGAAAAGGCGGTTCAAGTTACTGCTTATCTACTACGGTATATCAAAAACTTGAAGTCTAGATTGACTCATGATCAGTCAGTTATCAATCAAAATTCTTCTATCGAGTTAAATCTTACCGCACAAGAGTTATTCAATGCAAAGGTGGCGTTATTTAGACATGTGCAAGAAGAAACGTTAGCCTCTGAAATTCATGATGTAAAAGGTGGACAGTGTGTGTCTTCTAAAAGCAAGGTCTGTTTATTAAATCCGTTCTGTGATAATAATACCGGATTACTCCGTGTTGGGGGACGATCGAGCCAGTCTCAGTTGCCATATGACTCTCAACATCCAATCATTCTTTTGGCACATCCTCTGGTATCTGCCTTGATTCGATCCACGCTTATTCGCTGTCTGCATGGAGGTATGAAATTGACTCTAAGGACCCTCCGTCAAACTGTCTGGATTGTGAACCCACGTCCACCGATTAAATCGATTCTATACAATTGCCTGATATGCGCTAAAGTTAAAGCTAAACTTTTAATACAATTGATGTCAGACTTGCCCAAATCTCGAATAAATCCTCCTGATCGTGCGTTTATTCAGTGCCGTGTCGATTATGCAGGTCCTCTTCAGGTTTGCATGACGGGCGGTCGAGGTCAAAAATCTCACCCATGCTAAATAGCAGTGTTCATTTGCTTGTCCGTTAAAGCTATTCATTTAGAAGTTGTATCAGATTATTCCTCTGCGGCGTTCATTGCTGCATACAAACTCTTCGTCGCACGGCGTGGCATTCCTCGGGTTATGCACAGTGATCGTGGCACAACTTTTCAAGGAGCCAATCGAATTCTGAAAGAGGAGTTTCTTAAAGTCACTTCTGGCTCTTCTTTTCAATCACTTCTCAGTCATGATAACGTAACATGGCAGTTTATCCCACCTGCTGCTCCTCATTTTGGCGGGCTGTGGAAGCCGGGGTCAGAAGTGTAAAAAATCATCTCAAACGAATACTTCTAGACCAAACACCTACATACGAAGGTCTAACTACTATCTTGTGTCAAATCGAAGCGATTCTTAACTCCAGACCTCTCGAACCTTTGAACGACGACATAGATGATCTCCACCCTCTTACGCCCGGACACTTCTTAATAGGTGGTCCGTTAAATGCGGTACCTCAGTGTTCCTTAACTGACATAAGCCCAAATCGACTGTCTCAATGACAACGCCAGCAACAGTTGGTCGAAACCTTTTGGAAACATTGGTCCCAAGACTATCTCCAGTCCTTACAACATCGCACCAAATGGCGTCTCCCTCAAATTAAGATAAAGGTAGGGCATATGGTCTTGCTCAGTTAGCCTAATTTGCCTCCGGCCAAATGGAATCTAGCGCGAGTAATTGAATGTTATCCAGGCCCTGATGGCCATGTGCGCGTCGTTAAACTAAAAACTGCTACGTCTGAATATACTCGTCCAATAACAGAAATTGTTTTGCTTCCAATCGATCTCGATGATCCAAATGTAACTACGACATTAGAATAAGGTAAGCGCAAAGTAAAAACGTTCCAATTGTTCTACCGTTGATTTCAATGTAATTATTATTAAGATTGTTTCAATGTTTGCCAAAGAGCATAGATTTAAGAAAAATTCAAGCACACAACTTAGGCTAAGTCGCGATGAAAAACATTTGTTGAAATCCAATATTTCAAGGCGGGCGGCTTGTTTTAAAGTGCGTGTATGTACTGTGTGTTCATGCCAGCCTACAGATGGCAGCATGCGCCTCTAACTGCTGTCGGTGTGTTGGGGATCGGGTGTAAGGAAGGGGTATACCTATAGATCAAGTAGTCTGCGCTGATGCTCGTTTTATGCATGTGTGCGTGCGTTGTTCTTTGTCTGCTCGCGGCGGTTGATAGCGTCTTTTTTCTCTCTCTCTCCTGCGTCTGTAC